AAAATTATGAAAATCTAATGTTGGTTCAAGACACGTTTGTTTCCATTTTTTTTTTTCAGGTTTTTTTTACAGCATAATTGGTAGGCGTTTGAACATAAAAGTTCATTAGTTATAAATTTTGCTTTACATTCATATTTTTCATGTGAAATTTCATGCTCAAATACATGTGCTTAATACTGGCATCTATAGTTATTGAAAATGTTTTGTGATAATTGTTGTAGGTATGAACAATGACAATGACGACCCCGTACGGATGGATCAAATGTTGGAGGATGTCACAGCTCTCGCAAGACAGTGGCAGCATGAGATGAATTGTGCATATGTTGAAGCCTACAGAATTGCAACTGACTACTACAAGGCGTACGTCCTTAAAGTCCCATGCCGCACTTCCATATTGTCAGGGAGTGCATGGATTACGAAATTATACGAGGGTTACAGTGGTCGCTTCCGGTACGAATTGTGCATGCCCAAACATGTGTTCATTCGGTTATGTACGACATTGGTAAATGACTTCTAGTTGCGTGTACCCAAGCGTCCGCATGGCTTGCATGTCGAGGAGAGTGTTGCAATATTCATTCATGTGCTTAAAAACTTGCCCAACCGGGAGTGAAAAGAATGCTTCCAACATTCCGGTGAAACTATTTCACGTTGTTTCATAACGTCTTGAAAGCAATGAAAAAATTCACTGTCGTTCACTGCAGGCCCCCTACTAATTTCCAAACGCACAGGGATCCCTGCCTGCAGTCTCAACCACAATATATGCCGTTCAAGGTGTGGGAAAATATTTTGTAATGTTTTGGAAAATGGTCCTTATGAACATGGTCGGTAATCTTATCATTGCAATTTTTTTTATTAATATATAGGATTGCTTAGGTGCATTGGATGGGACACACGTGCCGGCATGCATAAAGGAGTCAGAAGCAGCGCCCATATTTCAACCGAAAGGGGTGTCACACCCAGAATATTTTGGCGGTGTGTGATTTCAACATGTGCTTCATGTTTGTCTCGTGCGGGTGGGAGGATAGCATGCACGACAGCCGGGTTTTAAGCAATTTAACAGAGGATCCACAATACAATTTTCCAACTGTAACTGACAGTATGTACACCTAAATTCACAATACAATTTTTGATTTTCATTTTTTTTTTAACATCTGTATATAAATAATTTTTAAAAAAATACTAATATTTAGAATGAAATGTGAAGGGAATTTTTATGTATGACAATTTTATGAAACAATCTCAACATAAAGGTAATATCCATCATTATTGATATGCAAATATAATTAATCTCACTAATATATATGTAAAAATGTATCACACTTAAATATATCATTGTTTTCACATTATATAAATTTGATTTTTCTTACCATTATAATTAACTTTAAATTTGATTCATCTTAGCATGTAGTAATTTATTTTAAGACTTAAATATATGACTGTTTTTACACTGTCCATGATAAACTAGTTACACATAATATTTTTTTTTCAATTTTGCTCGGAATTAATTATAAAATTTTATGTGAAATACTTTTGTAATAAAAATAGGGTAGTTTTTGGATATATTATTTGAAAAATTATTGTTATGTTCTTATTGTTGGTTATGGGAAAAAAAAATAAAGTTGTAAGGAAGAAGTGCCCTTTCTAAGTTAGTTTCATGCTTCCACCACTCCTTGTCAATACATAAATCAATTATGGAGATACAGTTGTTGTGAAATAAATGAGAGCAACTCTGGATAAGTTAAAATTTATATTGTATGCCAAGTGAACATTGATCATGACTATTACGTAATTTACGTGTGCACTTTCACAGGTCGCTATTACCTTGTGGATAATGGATACCGCAATAAGAAGGGCTTTCTGGCACCATACAAAGGCAATAGATACCACCAACCGGAATTTCAAAGGCACAATCCACGGAATTGTGGTGAGTTGTTCAACCGCACTCACTCATCTTTGTGGAGTGTGATTGAGCGTACCTTTGGCGCTTTGAAGTCGCGGTGGAGATTTCTGAAAGACATGCCTCGATTTGATTTGCCATTAGTTGCAGCGTCCATGGCTTTACATAATTTCATACGCAGAAATAGTGTGGACAACCAGATTGTTGTTGCTGTCAGCAGTGTGGCCGAGTACAGACACGCAAAAATGCCTGACCGGGGCGATTTGGTTGCCCTTGACGATGCGATGACACTTGGAGACGATGACGTTGAGATGGCGCAATTGCGGGCGCGTATCAGGGCAGAGTTAGTTGCAATTTGGCGAAATGCTCGTTAGGTGGACATGTTATGTGATACACGCCATCACTATGTTGTGTTGAAATTAATTGGAGAGGACTAAATACGTACATAATTGGTTACCAATTATGTATGACCATGTACGTCACTGTTTTTGTACAACTATGGAATACAGACTTGGTTATGATTTCAGGTTGGTTATGATTTCAGGTTGCTTACCAATTATGTAAGGCCTTTCGTGAACTCATAAATTTCAGGTTGGTTTTGATTTCCCGAAACACAAATTTCCCCAACTAAAAACAATTAAATACTCGAGTTTCGTACAGAGTTTGGCTATGATTTGTTCATGACTTTAGAATTGAGACTTGTAAAAATTATTTTCATATTTTATCGGAATTTGTGTACTATTCACAGTTACATCACACAAATTATAATCCATTTGACTAGTCGTTTGGGAATATACTATTTTACTAAATTTTATATTTTTGGACTAAATTATAAAGTTAGAAAAATTAGTATGTCTCGCTCCCGTTGTTGTCATTTTTTTTTTTAAAAGCTCTATAAAAATTAGATGAAAACAGAGTTATAGGACTTCTCCATAAATTTCTGTTTAAAAACTAACGTAAGGTCATTATTTGAATTTACATTTTTTCCTAAAATTTACAAACTGAGACAATCATTTATAAACTAAAAAAATTATAAAACAAGTTTTCATGACAGTTTTTAAATTTTTTGTAAATATAAATTAAAACTGAAAACGAAATGGTTACCAAACAAGCTTCAGATGGTAAAAATGTCATAAAATTAATAAATAATTAAATAAGTTACCAACGTAGGAAATGAATTATCAATAGGGATTCTTAGGCGATGTATGGTTTGATTTTTAGATTTTTTTTTTTAGAAAATTAAAAATTAATTTGGTTAACAAATAAAAACTAAAAAATAATTATCATTTTTATATAATTTTTATCTTTTGAGTGGTTAGAAATAATCATCATACAAATTAAATTGAAACAGGCATACGAATGTATATAACCTGCCCAAAAGTTAAAATAATAATTATTTTTAGCCTTAAATGATAATTATTTTTTATTTTTTATTTCTTAACCAAATTAATTTCGAATTTTTAAAAAAAAAGTTCTAAAAAGCAAACCATACATAGCCTAAGAATCTTTTGATAAGTCATTTCTTACGTTGGTAACTTATTTAATTACTTGTCAATTTTACAACATTTTTACCATCTGAGGCTTATTTGGTAACTATTTCCTTTTCAGTTTACATTTAATATTTACAAAAATTTTAAAAACAATCATAAAAACTTTTTTGATCATTTTTTGGATTTATAAATGCTTGTCTCAGTTTGTAAATTTGAGAAAAAAACGTAAATTCAAATAATGAATTTACGTTGGTTTTAAAATAAAAATGTAAAAATTTTACTAACAAAAAAAATTTTCAATTAATTTTTGTTTTCCATTAATTTGTTTTTAAAATAATTTTTTTCCCAACTACATTTTTTTTTCAATGAATTTTGTTCCCAACTAATACTAACCGAGGGGGTAATTGGTAATGCTACTTTAAACCTTAGGGACGGGATTGTAATTTCTAAAATGTGAGGGGTGTCAATGTAATTTTTCCAATCAATGTAAAATTGGTATTTAAAAAAATTAAATTGCTAAGGGGGAATCTGTAATGAAATTTCAAACCTTAGGGGGAGATGTAATTTTCAAAAGGTGAGGGGGAAATTGTAATAAACATAAACGTCAGGAGGTGTCAGTCTAATTTACGCACAACTTTAAATATGTGTTGTATTACAGTTCTCCAAAAGAAATACAATTTGACCGTTGTGACATGATACCTTCATTTTTAAATATATTGTATTAATATTATTTAAAGAATATTACATCACACAAATATGTTTTTATATGTTGTATACTCCAAGTGTATTATGCAAAGGAAATTTAAAATAATACCTTTTCACTAATGTGACATATCACTCTTGCAAAAGCCATCAAGTCTGACGCTTGGACAGGTAATATGCACGGCTATAAGGCCATTTCGGTCATTTTATCCACTTCTCATTATTTAGCTTATTTTATTTCACGTCTTTTCGTAAAAAGTTAAAGTTTATCCCAAACAACTAAGTTTTTTTTCCTCATATTTTAGCCAAAAATCCAAAAAGTTACTAAAATAGCATGTTCTCAAACGGGGCCTCAATATCCCAATGCCTAGATGAAAGTTACCACAAGTGAATTCAACGTAAGAAGCTAGATCGAAGGCATTTTGAATCAGGGGTCAGTAAACAAAGGAAGGTGGAGCCATGGAAAGTGATGCCTTATCAGAAATACCCATTCTAACTCCAATCCTAAACATTTAAGAGTCTACACCTGACAGCTTTTTTGCCAATGTTTCTAGGATTGGTGCTCGCTGCTCCCAAAATTGCATCTTTATAATCCCCTCTACATGGCCTCGTCCAAAACTCTTTAAATCCTCATAAAGGCCACCTCAAACCTCTTGACCCCCGACCTTTCCATGATATTCTTCCAGCCTACACCACTAGAAAATGGGGCATTTGCCACGGAACTATTTGCGACGGTTAAAGTGCCGTCGCAAAAAACATGTTTTTGCGACGGTATTTAATGACGTCGCGAAATTATTTTTGTTGCGACGGAAAAACTAGGCCCGTGGCAAAAAGTAAGGTTATTTGCGACGGCACGTTGAACATCACAAAATTTTTATGGTTTAATTTTTTTTTTTTGCAACGCTCTTTTGGCAATCCGTCGCAATTTTCTTTTTTTTTCTCATTCACTCGCGACGGGCCTTAATATCGTCACAAATAGTATTCCTAAATTGGCGCCAAAATTCTCTCCCACTCCCTCTTTCCCGAAATCCCCAAATTATCTGTAATCTGTTGGAATAAAAAAAAAATAAAAAACCCTTCCTCTATCTCACTGCTCTCTCCCTTCGATACTCTACCCTAATCTCACCTAATCTCACTGCTCTCTCCCTCCCTCCCTCTCACCCTCCCTCTCACCCAGTCGTCACTCTATCTCTCTTGCAGCGACAACAGCTTCCTCTAGGTAACCCTCTTCTTTTCTCTCGCTCTTGCTCACGCAGACCCTCCCTCTCACCCAGTCGTCGTTCTGTCTGTCTTGCTGCGGCAACAACAGCGTCTGTAGCAGCGGCAACAACAGCGCCACTCTAGTTCTCCCTCCGGCATCCAGGTATAGCCCTTCCTTTTCTTTCGGAATCTATGTTTGTTTTGTTTGTTTTTTTTTTTTATCTTAGTTATTAATCTCTTTTGTTTTGTATTAATCTATTAGTGATTTTTGTTCTGTTGTGGACCAATATGAATCTGTTATTAATCTGTAAATATGAATCTGTTTTGGCCTCTATTTGGAATGTAAATATGAATCTTTTTTTATCTTAGTTGAAGCAGAATCTATTATTAATCTGTAAATATGTGTTGAATCTGTCTTAGTTGAATCTGTGTAAATATGTGTTGAATCAGAATCTGTCTTAGTTGAATCTGTGTTGAATTTGGGTCCAATGACCTGAAATTTAGAATTTCAAATGTTTGTAGCATGTGATAAAAATTCCATGTTTTTGAGACTTCCTTAGATATTGCTGCTCTTCTGTGTGCAATGTATTTCAAGTTGTATGGGCTGGGACTTCTATGATTCTCTTTTGGATGTTTGGATGTGGTGTGCTTTTTCTAATTTGTGCTCTATTTCATTATTAGACATTTGGAAGACAATCAGCTTAGTGGAGAGATTCTCCCATCACTTGGAAACATTAACAGCTTGAGTGAACTGTAAGTTCCACTTTAGAGAATACAATTAAATACATAACCATAGTGCGACTTATGTTTTTTTATCTCAGTTTCCTATTCTATAGCTGCTTTACACAATTTTTTTTTAAAATTTTTTTAATTTTATCATTCTGAACTCTGAAACCAAGGTAATTTAAAGCAACGAATGAATGGTTCCTTCGACCACATTTCATTCTAGTTAAAAGTTCTAGGCTTGTGCATAAGGATTATTTCAATTGTAAGTGCTAGTTTAAATGTCTACAAACTTTTTTGAAGTCTTGAAGTTGATTTGATGTACCTAATGTGCTCCATTGTTTCATCCTATACATAATTTAAAAAAAAATTCTAGCATTGGTTCCGTTCATTACAGTGTAGGAAAGAGCTTTCTGTAGTGGTAGCAGGAAAGTGGACGAATCCCATCCCCTATCAAGTAAAGTGCTTATGGTTTTCAAAAAAGGTTTAAAAATAAATTTTTGGAAAAAAAGTTCAATCCGCAAACCGCCCGCACATCCGCGAACCCTATCTGCACAAACCGCAATCCGCATCGCGGGCAGTTTCAGGTTGACTTTTCCCCAAACCGCATAGATGTGGGCGGGGCCAAACCGAACCGCAAACCGTCCCAAACCGAACCGCGGACACCCCTAGAGTCGACCTCAACCCAAAGTAAATTCTTAACAAGTGAATGTCATTTTAGAAATTGATCAACGGTAACTACCCTAAATAGACCAATATAAACAATTTCAACAATTAAATTCACCTAATAAATAATTTTTGATATCTTTGAAACTCTCTATGCCACTGTGCACAGGATAACTGGTGTGGTTAGTCTCTATCCTCCTAATCCTTGAAATAGTTGAAACACTTTTGTTATTAAGGGTAAGCAATTAGGGAGTGCAAATCACATTTGCCATATCTTGACAAGAATGCACAATAACAAAATGCAAATAAATCCTTTATTGCAAACAATAAACATGATGGGAAGTATGAAATTATACACCATTAAAGTTGTTGAACAAAATGTACAAAACTATAGCATCTCAATATGACAAGTCTGACAACATTCAATAAAACTTGACGTATGCACTGGAACCCAATAGACGGTATAAGTGGATCACTGATATCAGGTGCAATTTGTAACACCCTCATCATTGATAAGAAAGGTAAGGTATTCAAATAAATTTCAATTTATGAACCAGAGACTTGTATCACTTGATAGCTCTTGACATAAGCCATACACATTGATACAAGCCATACACAAAATTTTCAATTTGTGCAGTCCCACATCGGTGGGAAGCAAAAAACTTTTGAGGCGTTCAGTGGCCTTTTAAACCCAAACTCAACTGTTGCATATTTAGACTATCGAATGAGTTGTAAAAGTATTGAAGGCTTTTGTTTATAAAAGCTCCAGCCACTGGCAGCTGTGCTCGTTGCCTCGGTGAGTTTGTCTTTTACGTGGTCAATATTGTGAAACATTAACATAGACTTTAATTGCTTTTATTAAAGATAAAGGCTTAAAAGCTGAGACCTGTGGCAATTTTAACTGAAATAAGTCCAGATTCGTTGCTTTTGAAGTGAATTCGCAAATTTACAAATGTAAATCCACTGGATTGAGGAAGAATTGACATTCAATTCGTTGCTTCTCATTTTGGAACGTGATCAGCCACCCTAGGGTGACAGATTAGGGGACCCAGGCCCGACATATAAGGGGAAACAAATACTGCAATTACACATACTATGTCAACAATCATAGCAAGCTTAGGTTCACAGGTCATAGTTTCATAGAATAATAACGCTGTGATAAGTTGCAAGTATCATAGCCTCAATGATGTTGAAGGAACACGAGATTCAACAAGTTGGCTGTTATAATAAATAAATAAAAAATTGTGAGCTTAATGAGTTGAGCTCAGCTATTTTGAAGCTCGACTTGTTTGTTGTCTTATGAGCTTGGTCAAAGAGCACATGTTCTCATCACATTTTTTAAGCGAACAAGCCTAAAGACAAACCCAATGCCACCCCATCCGTTAACAGCTTGGAAAGTAGACAATCATACGCCAAGATCACATTTTTTTTTTTTTTAAATCTGCACATTTGTAAGACTGCATATCCCATGTCCATTAAAAGCTAGGCATAAGTCAATACATGCTTGCATATGAATATGATCCCTGTGAAAGGTCTTCAAAAACCATTCTCATCATGAAGATGGCAACACGGATCATACTTAAAATAAATCTAAATCACACAACGCATATCCTATGCATTTTTTTTATGTTTTAATTTCATGCATGTTGTGTTGTTAATTTAACAAACCCACCCCCATGAATAATTTTATTTGCCAAATGTTCATGTCTCCATGAATTAAGGCACTAGGATACTACTACAATTATAGCTGTTTTGAAATAACTAGCATTAAAAAAAAATAAAAAAATTAAAACCTGGGAGGAATGGAGTCATTGCCGGCGACAACAGCGCAGCCGGACAAATCGCCAGAAATATTGGATTCCTTGGGATGTTTTCGCCGGTGAGGAACCGATTCTACACAAATTGGTGTATCGACACTCGATGATTTGGGGACCTACACATAACATATTAGTTACCTTTTTTTTACTGATAATTAATAATAGGTTAGACTAGTAATATACAATTAGACTTTCTGGTGGACCAATGAATTAAAATAATAATAAAAAAATCAACATGCTTTGACCTTTGTGTGTGTGAATGTGTGTTAATATGCATATTTAGAAGACTTTTGAAATAGAACAAATCAAGATGGAATGGAGTAGGATGGACTGCCTTATTTTGCTGGTCTGCCTTACTCAGGTGTGAAGGTATGCTGCTGTTGTGAGAGGATGGACTGTTATGCAATGCTAGTGTCTTTTTTTGCTCTGCTTTCTTTTTCAGTGTTGCTTCAGTTTCTGCTGCTTTGGCTCAAGCTCTATTCCTCTGCCTCAGTCTGTCAGTGTATTTCAGTTTGCTTTGTGTGTGTATGCTGCTATGTGTGTGTTTGCTGCTTCTGTTTTGTTTGTATGCTACTGCAGTTGAGAGTTTAATTTAGTTGGTGTAGTTGCTAGGTTTGATCAAATGCAAAATACACTTTAGTTTGCTCAAATGCATGACAAGGACTTATTTTGCCTTAGAAAGGGCTGTCTGGAGGTTTCTGCTATTGGGCCCTGGTGTTACCAAATCTGCAAAGGATGCTAAGAGTATTATTCATTAGTTTGGTCATTGCATCCTTTGTAGCAAAATCTGCCCCATCAGTAGTAGTCTCAGTAGTGGAGTTGGTTGATTCTGCATTCATAATATCAACAATTGCTTGAATATATGATCTGCCTCTGGTTGCTGTTTTGGGGTTTTGGTGCTGGTTGGTCTGTTTTGATGAATGGTTGGTAGCTGCTAGCCTATCTGGTTTGATGAATGTGGAGTTAGTTGTTTCGTAGCTGCTGGTGCAGAGTTGTGAACTACTGTTATTAGTCTGCTGGTGTATGATATAGGGTGTGTATTGCTGCTATGATGTCTGCTGGTGTATGAGAGGTGGTTTTCTAATAGATTTTGAGGTGTTTGCTGCTATAGGGTGTGTATTGCTGCTAGTGTCTGATGCTATAGGCTGTATTGCTGCTGGTGTATCCTCTGTTCTGGTGTTTGTTAGAAGATAATGTGTGTTTTGAAGAATTAGGTTTATCTTTTAAATTTTGTATTCATAGAATGCTTATATGCATCTTTGGGTGGGTTCTAGCTTTCTAAGATCTGTTGCACCTAAAGTTGATAAAAGAAGTTGCCAATGTCATGTAATCTAGGTTGACTTGCCACTGGTAGATATGATAAATCTTGCTAGAACAGCCAAGACTTGTCTCGGTGGATATGAATAAATCCTGTTAGAACAGCCAAGAGGAAATATATTGTTCCTTTGGTTTCTGACTATAAAATCACAATAGTTTTGTCATTTGGATTTGACTACAAATTAGGATTATTCACCTTTTATGACCTTTCATGACTTTGTCATGACTGTTGTGTATTTTTGCACTTCAAAAGTTACTCATATAAATTACATAATATGAGTCATACAAGACTTAGACATGTCTACTGTTTATGCATGTGTAAACCTATTTATAGTTGTGCATCGAGCTTGCAAACTCAGTATACGGAGCTTTTTTTGTCTTGTTCTTAACCTTTTGTTTTTTGAAACATGCTTTTATGTGGCATTTTTGGTGTGCAAAAAGGTGAAATGTAAATTGACAGTGCTGTTAGGTAGTTAGATACACCATTGCTTGATGTGAACATATAGGAAGGAAACATCATATGTTTGGTATTAGAAGTCAATGTTGCATTTGGATTAGTGAATTTCAAATGTGTGGATTGTAGTTAATTTTAAAGGTTTGCTACATAAGCATATATTCGAACAATCTATAAGTGGATTTTGAAGCTATATACCTTGAGTTTAAAAGCCTAAATCATAATTTTGAAATAATCAGATTACAAGGAAAAAAAAAAGAAAAAGAAATCCATCCTACTAAGGATTTGAAGTGCATGTGTATTTTAGTTAGGATGCATCTCTCATGCCTCGCTTTTAGCATTTCCCTCAAATCTCTCAATACAACTTAATTGCTCCATCCTCTTCAAGTTTATCCTAAATCCCTTCATTTCAATCTGTTAATCTGAATGCAACCTAAGTGCTATTGGTGTTATTTATGTATTTACTTCTTGGGGCCTATGTGACAAAAGCTAAAGTATTTTGTGCTTTTATTGCCTGTTTTGTGCCCTTCTGTCCTTTTTTGCCACTGGTCATTGATGCATGAATGGTTATTCAACCTGTCAGTGGTTCCATTGATATAGATAAAATTCATCCTCCACATATTAGTCTCTTTAAAAAAAAGGAAAGAAAGAAGTAATCCTCCTCATGTTAGTCTAAAATATTCTCATTTCCCTCTACCTGCTTTAGAAGTCTTGAGCTTCCAATGTCAAAAATTAACAATTACTTCCCCTTTGGTTTATGACAAATACATTTGATTTCCTTAGGTTCTAGAAAATGCATCTGTCCCCTAAGGTTTCAAATCACATAATAAATACCCCTTCTGTTCTTCAACCGTTAGGTCAACTATAAGAATTTTATGCTGTCAGCAATTTTAAATTTTAAAATTCTCCTTTTACCCCTAGAATAATCTAATGCATTTGAAAAGCATTGCCCTCAAAGCTAAGCCTGCACCTTCACACTTGACATCCCTAGATTTACCATTGCCCCCCTTGTCCCCTACTTGCAGAACAAGTATATAATATCCAAAGAGCATGGTCATGAACATGCAACATGATATGATATAGATACGTTGACATGATAAATTTTCACAATGCAGAACACAACATGTGGAGGACTTGAGCGTAAATATAGTTTTATATATTTATCTTGTCATATATATGAGCATTCCTTTTAAAGATAATAAAGATTACAACATAAATCTAACTTCCAAACTTTGAAGTAGGTAAGAATAATAGTTATAAATATATTAATATACATAGGTTTTCTTTTTATCATTGAATCCCAAGTTATTTTGTCCAAGCTTAATATGTGTTTCTTATGTGTTTAAGTGATCGACATGTGTGCCTCCCAAATACATGTGGGGTTGTGGAGGTATTATGGTTTCAATCCCTATGGTGCATTGAGACCATAATTAAGCACAGCGCAATAAGACTTTACAGGGTGGCGATGAGGTAAAAAAAAGGAGTTTCTCTTTAGGTAGGAACATAGAGGGGGAGGGGGCATTTGGCAAGAGGCACACTAACTCTCTTTTAGCATCTTGCTTACAAATTTAAATTCCAGTCAAAATTTGTCTTTGCAGCATCATGAAATTTTCCACTTCTTTTCATGTATTTGCCTGGATGGATGGTCACTAATCACTATTATTCAAATTAACTTCATTAACAGTAGTATTTTGCTTCGCTGCATTAGTCTACATCTCACTAGAAAGTGTAATATGATGAACAACACATTTCATGATTGCTTTTCATATTTGCTACTAACTCTCATATTTGCTGCATTAGTCTACATCTCATATTTGCTGTCTGCATTAGTCTTGTAGATTTTGAGGATTAATTCACTTCTGTGCTGAACCTCTAACATGCATTCAGTGCCTGATAACTGGTGTTCCCAATGTAGTGCATGATTTTTATAAAATATGAATTGAATAGAATTAGGAAATATACATACATGGGAGCTGTTTTTCTGTGCCCTGCTACTTATTTTTCTTGGGCCTTTCCTGCTGCATATGGAAATGATTTTCTCAAGACTATGCATGTGCCCATCCTACCAGACTATCTTAGAAATTTGACCTTCTAAATTCATCATCATTGTTTACCATAGTTGGTACTTCTGTTGACCACATACATGTAGTCAGTCATACACTTGAGAGAGAGAGAGAGAGAACAAATAAAAAAAAACAATCTACATATATGTAAGGGGATTCTATATTTAAATGTTGTGGCTCTCCTACTTCTATCAAGTTCTCCACTTAACTAAGTTTGAACTAGTGGGAGTATAAGAGTGAACGATGCTTCGTTTGTATCTATGTTTGATGAAATTAACAACTAGGATATGATTGCATTATTATAAGCTATGTTTGACCTTATCAAGTATATGGTCTTCGATGTACTTTGAATAACCTTACAAGGAGAATTTTGTTTATTTTTGGTGAACTTGAGGAAAGACTAACTCTTCTTATTATATCATCTGCCTGTCTTCTGATGCTGCACTCAGATTCCTTGCACCTTGGCTTCTGTAGTAGATCAACTGGACTACAAAATTGTTTACTCAGCCAATTTATATATTTCAATTTGTTGTCGTTTAAGAATTGCAGAATGCAGGAAAATGATGCTTGATGCTTAATTTGTTGGGTAGAGTGTCTAAATATATTGTAACTGACACAATTTTATCACATTGATGTGAGATGACTTGGTCTGCTGTGCAGAGCATAATGTTTGGCTAGCAAACAAGCATGTGAAGAAAATGAGAAGTGAGCATAGGTTAGGTTATGAAGCATTAGATAGTAAGGTAGTTGTAGTCAGTGCTGTTCGTAGCTAAGTGCATACTTGGTTTTAAGTTTACTAGCTATGGGAGCACACTTGGTTGGTTTTGATTGAGAAGTGAGCATAGGTTAGGTTATGAAGCTGTAGAAGATGGAGAAATGCTGAAGAGGGTTTGGATGTAGTTTGTTACAGAGGATGACTGCTATCATTAGCAGACCATGACAAAAAATAAAATAAAATAAAAAATAAAGAAGAAGAAGAAGAAATGCTGTGAATTTGCAGTCAATTAATGGACTTTTGTGAGTGAGATAAATTCACTGAGCACCACCTTATTGTTGTCATTGACATTATAATTCTCATTGTAAGCAGAAGAGGAAAAACTATTTGCCCACAATGAAAAACCGTTGTTTAATGAGTTCAGGTCTTGCTTTCTTATTATTCCAAGCTTGGTAAAGCTAGGTATGACTGTGTTACACTTCCATGTCTTTCTCACATGGGTGTAGGTCCCACACCCATGTGAGAGGTTTGGTAGAAAAATTGGTTGATTATTTGGGATCCCTAGCATAGCTCTATTTTAGTTTGAGCTACAACAACGTAGCTTGCAATGATTTCTAATTCCTTTGTTTGTTCCAAATCTTACATTCTTGTGGTTACTTTGTTAGATGCTTAGTCTGCTTGAAAATAACCTGTCGTACTTGTGCCTTTCTGAATAGACATGTCAATTCACCATGTTTATACTTTTTGAAAATTTACACTGCTTATACTATAAATAATATTGTATTTACTATTATTGTAACCATATTAGATTTCTTATATTATAAATATTAGGATAGGACGGAACTCGAAACCGATTCCCGGTTTTGAATCTAGAGCCTAATTTCCATTAATGAAAACTTATTACGTAATGACTCTTTTTCAAACCGGTTGACATACTAAAATGCTCAAACGGGTTTCGATGTCAACGAAACTTGACACGCACCACATACTAGGCACACATGACTTGTAGGATAAGACGGAACTCAAAACCGATTCCCGACTTTGAATCTAGAGCCTAATTTCCGTTAATGAAAACTTATTACTTAATAACTCTTTTCCAAACCGGATAACGCACTAAAATGCTCAAACGGGTTTGGATGTTAACGAAACTTGACACGCACAACATACTAGGCATACATGACTTGTAGGAGAAGACGGAACTCAAAACCGATTCCCGGTTTTCAATCTAGAGCCTAATTTCTGTTAATGAAACTTATTACTTAATGACTCTTTTTCAAACCGGTTGACACACTAAAATGCTCAAACGGGTTCGGATGTGAACGAAACTTGACACGCACAACATACTAGGCACACATGACTTGTAGGATAAGACGGAACTCAAAACTGATTCCCGGTTTTCAATCTAAAGCCCAATTTCCGTTAATAAAAACTTGTTACTTAATAACTCTTTTTCAAACCGGTTGACACACTAAAATGCTCAAACGAGTTCAGATGTCAACGAAACTTGTCACGCACAACATACTAGGCACACATGAGTTGTAGGATAAGACGGAACTCGAAATCGATTCCCGGTTTTCAATCTAGAGCCTAATTTCCGTTTATGAAAACTTGTTACTTATTAACTCTAAACCGGTTGACACACGAAAATGCTCAAACGGGTTCGGATGTCAACGAAACTTCACACGCACAACAAACTAGCGACACATGACTTGTAGGATAAGACAGAACTCGAAACCAATTCCCGGTTTTTAATCTAGAGCCTAATTTCCGTTAATGAAAAGTTGTTACTTAATAACTCTTTTTCAAACCGGTTGACACACTAAAATGCTCAAACGGGTTCGGATGTGAACGAAACTTGACACGCACAACATACTAGGCACACATGAGTTGTAGGATAAGACAGAACTCAAAATCGATTCCCGATTTTCAATCTAGAGCCTAATTTCCGTTTATGAAAACTTGTTACTTATTAACTCTAAACTGGTTGATACACGAAAATGCTCAAACGGGTTCGGATGTCAACGAAACTTCACACGCACAACAAACTAGCCACACATGACTTGTAGGATAAGACGGAACTCGAAATCGATTCCCGGTTTTGAATCTAAAGCCTAATTTCCGTTAATGAAAATTTGTTACTTAATAACTCTAAACCGGTTGACATACTAAATGCTCAAACAGGTTCGAATGTCAACGAAACTTGACACGCACAACATACTTGGCACACATGACTTGTAGGAGAAGACGGAACTCGACCAATACTTCTTCTTTACAAACTCTTTTTGTGTTTATTCGATTGTTGTTATAGATTATAGCTCATTGTGTACAATCATTGCCTATTTTTAATAGTATTATCATCATTGTAGGATGTAATTAAAGTTTCTTTGGAGAGTTCTGTAATACCAAGAGTCCAATTGGCGGAGGGACTTCTTATTAGTGTTGATCCATTGTGTGAAATTCATGGAGTTCCAATTGGACCTGGATTTTGTAAAGTTTTTGTTTTAAAAGCGAACAAGCCGAACGCTGTTTTGGAAACAACTTCCCGATGTCTAAGAACAGTTGGAGAAGCTGTGGGAAGATACATTGTGTGGCGCTCGATTCATGTATATGTTACAATCTTATTTATTTATTTATCGAAATAAATATCAAATGCTTTACATTTTCTATAAATTTGAAATTAATTATATTGTAAATGATTTTTTTTTTTTTGGTTTTTTTTTTTGCAGGTGTAACCCTTTTGAGTACGTGATGATATCTTCGCATATCGATATTAGAGTTTACAATCTTATTTATTTATTTATTTTTTGAAAAAAATATCTAATGTTTTACATTTTCTGTAAGCTTGAAAATAATTATGTTGTAAATGATGATTTTTTTTTTCTTTTTTGTTTCTTTTTGCAGATGCAAACCTTTTGAGTACGTGATATATTCGCATATCGATACGGGAGCTTACTATTGATAGCAAAACAAGCTACATTATATCTGTTTTTATTTTTTTATTTTTTTGTTTCTATTGTCGATACTAAAAATTTGAGTTCTTCAATTTCAAAAATTATTAGTATTGTTAGAAGTTATTTTATATATTTTTGTAAATAATATTTGATTGACAATTGTTACAAGGTACATATATTATTCTTGGTATATATGATTTTTTGAATGTGAATTTGGATGTGGATGTGGATGTGGATGTATTTTTAAAAATATTAATAATTTGTATAGGAAATATTTAATAAAATATAATTTTATAAAAAGTAATTTTGTTGCGACAATAATAAACCGTCGCTAATGTAATTCTCATTTCCTTATATTTTATTAGCGACGGGTTAACCTGTCGCATATACATAATAGTTCCAATCTTTTGCGACGTTTCAACTGTCACAAATAAATCTTTTGCGACGGTTTAAACTGTTGCCAATACGATATTAACTTAATACTACTTTTTTGGCGACGTTTTAGACCGTCACTAATAATACCTTTTGCGACGGCAAATACCATCGCTAAAAAAGGTTTTTTGCGATGGCAATCAACATCGTCACTAAAAATGCCATTTTTTCCCCTTTTTTTGTGTCAGGCGAAACCGTCGCAAAAACTATTGATTAGCCGTCGCAACAAGAACGCGACGGTTTGTAACCGTCGCAAATACTTTTTGTCACGCCCCTTTCCGCCACCCCCCATTTTCCGTCGCTGCTCCGTCGCAAAAAGTCTTTTGCGACGATATATGGACCTTTTGCGACATTTGAGACCGTCGCAAAAAGTCAAGTTTTTAGTAGTGCTAGCACGATCCTACCAAATACGGCGTCTTTCACCAACAGCATGGTCATGACACCGATCGTTGCTATCACCTTCATCATGAGATTCAAGATCTCAATGACAACAAGGTCATCACCCCACCTCAAAAACCCACTACCAATCTATTACCGCCCCACAACACAAATTTCATCCATTTTTGGCCAACAATAAACTTCGATGCTAGCCAAATACATCATACCCGATAATGAGCCCAAACCCATGGTGTTCACTCCTAAATCTTCAGATCTCTGTCTCATCAAAAAAAATTAAGAAAGAAGAGCAGAATGAATAGTTCTTTGAAGAGATGGAAGGCTTACTCAATCTTGGTGAACTCGACCTTAAAAGGGTTAAAGCAATGCAGGAGGCTTCCTTAACTATTTCCATCAATTATGGTTGGTATAATGAATCTCAAAGATCAACTAGGGGCAATTGTTGAAAGTGCTTGCAAAGAACCTTTTTAGGAGATTGGAATAAGTTCTCAACGCTCTAGGGCATAAGGAAAGCATGAGTCAGGTTGATTGGCAGTTGTTCTATGATCTGATGATCCCCATCACAGGTGCCTGCATAATGTTGAAAAATGCAACCAGTGACTGGACACCAGGGGCAATAGTACATCTGACTTGGCTATCAGCTAAACAAGGGGCTTGAACCATGTTTTTCTCTCAACTATTTGTCAAGCACTTTCCCTTGAGTAAGAGTGGGTTCGCCCCCTCCTCCCCCATGATGATTCTAATATGATTCAACCTTTCACAATTACCTCCGACCAATTCAAGATTCTCTTTGGTTGCCTTTTTTCTTCACATTGATATGTGCTTTGACTCATGCATGCATGCTCACACTCTGGTGAATTTGAACTACATGATTGGTTGCTCCAGCTCTCGACTTTGTTATATACTTGTAAATATCATTAACTAAGTTGCGTTGAGTTATCTCGATTTGTGTTTAGGTTTAACCTATGGAGTTGGTTTTGCTTCCTTAAGTTACACAAATTGCCATGTTTCGTCGCATAATGTGGTGTGACCTACACATTACTGTGCATTCATTCTATGAGATATGTGGTGCACCACTCTCCATACTACTCATCTCGTAAGTTATATCATGTATTGCTCCATACATCATTCATCATGCACTGTTTTCCGTGCCATCCATGTTTTGAGATGTGCAGCATGCAACCTTTTCACTTTTAGTGCATCCCCTCGCACAATCCTTTTTGCATTAAAAAAGGTTGCATTTCTCATATTTGCATCTTTTGTTAAGCTTCATCATCATTAGCATGAGGCTTGCCTCGCATATGGTCATCTTCGCATTTTGTCATCATTTCATTATGCTACATTGTATAGATCATCAGCTCTCAATGCAGTGCAAAAACACGTAAGTTTAACTCTCAATCAGCTTGTACGCCTATTTTCGAAGCTATGAAGCATATTGCTTTTTGCGTCTACTACATGTTGCATTGCATGCATTGCATTCTTTATCTTATTGCATTTACCCTTTATACGTAAAGGGTGCTTGGTTGGTTCTCTCTTGGTTAACACCCTTTCTCTTCTCGCAATTTCAACGCAATTATAGTGTCTTCCTCTTCTCGCGATTTTAGCACGATTAAAGTGTGTTCCTCTTCTCGCTATTTTACCTTGCGATTTCAGCGTGGTAAGAGTGTCTTCCTCTTCTCATAATTTCAACACGATTAAAGTGTTCCTCTTCTCGTGATTTTAGCGCAGTTAGAGTGTTGTGTTCCTCTTCTCATGATTTCAACATGATTAGAGTGATGTGTTCCTCTTCTTGCGAGTTCGGCACGGCTAAAGTGTGTTCCTCTTCTCACGATTTTAGCGCGATTAGAGAGTGTTCCTCCTCTCATGTCCCAGCTTGTTCAGTGTGTTTGGCCTTGACCACCCTTCATTCTCTCGCACGAAACGCGTTTGCATTTGCATTTCTTTCATTCATGTAAAAAATATGTTTATGCATCTCATTTTATATGACTCGTGTAGAAAACATGTTTGAATAAAATTCTTTATTGTATCTGCAACTATTAGCATGCTGCATATCATTTGTATTATGCCCCTGAACTACACCGGTTTGATTCCTTGCAAAAAGATATATAGGCAACCCTCAGGTTCATCCAACTGCATCTACATTTTGTTTGTTTGCCAAGTCTTATGGCCTTGTCAAAAGGGTTATCTTCGGGCTTTGACATTCACTCACGTCACAAAATGACGCATTGAGCTCTGTCTAAGAAGGGCAACTGTAGATATCCTATTTTGACCGACCCTAAGACTTGGGCACTCTTTTCTGAACACCCGATGATGAAAGTTAGAATGTACTATCTTACGAATTCCTCAGCAGGAGAGTCGTGTTCAAGCTTTAATCCCAACCTTACACTCGTTTTGGCCAAAACATTTTAGACCCTTTTTAAATCTTTTTTAAAATGCTTTTTTTCATGTGGATTCAAACATTTCTACAAAGTTCGAGGCTCGTATTTTCAAAATTCATGTGTCATATTTTTTTAGTAAATTGAGCAAGAAGAAAGTGGAAATGAGTGGAATGAATGAGAATTTCCTATGAAAAAAATCTTGTTTTCCCCTTTGAAAAAGCTGTCTGGCCAAATGATTTTTTGGCTAGCCGGACACTTTTTTGTCTAGCCGAATGATTTTTCCAGGAAACGGAGCAATTTTAGGAAATTCAATATTTTCTCCAAATTTTACACAAATATCTTAGATATTTTGACTCTAAGCTTCCTATACAAACATCTCAGATATTTTCTTTCCCCTAAAAGTCTATAAGTATCACCTTTCATATTCATTGTTAAGGGTTACAAGTTTTGTTTACATTCACACCTCATCTTCAACCTTCTTTTCCATTTTCTTCATGTTTCTTTACTAATACACTACCCAAAACTCGATTAAAGCTAAAATTTATGTTGAGAAATATTTTTAAGAGGTTACAAAAATATTTCTAAAGAGCTAAAAGACTTGTTTAAGAACCCATCTCATACACTTCATCTTCAACATTTATTTCTCATACACCAATCATCAAAACTCCATTAAAGCTTGACTCCAAGCTTCTTGCTACGGATCCTAACAACTCTAAGCCATATCTAAAGGACTTTGAGGGTGTTAGAAAGAGTTTGACAATCAAGAAGTTCACCTCTTTTAAGAGGTGAAACTTTTGAACATTTTCTCATATTTTCTCTCTTATCCTTCATCTTTAAGCTTTGTTTTCATTATGTAACTGTTGTAAGGATGTAACAAGTCCTCATGGATGTGGAGGGGGTAGATTTCACCACCCATCCATTGAGTTAATAGCTTTTTCTTTACTTTTTTTGCTTTCTAATGCTATAATCCATTGATGTTGTTCATAGATGTGTTAATTGGGTCTTCATGGATGTGGTTGGGGGTAGAAAATAGCCATCCATCCATTGAGTTGATAGTTTTTCTTCTTTTTCCCATAACTTATCTCTATTTTCTTGCTTTCCATAGCTAGAATCTCTTAAATCCATTGTTGTATATTTTGTAACCCTGTGAATGTGATTGGGAGTAGAAATTAGACATCCATTCACAAGTTTAATATGTATAATAGTTTTTCTTGTTGTTACACGCTTTCTCTTCACATATTCTATCTTCTAAGTACTTTGATCCATTTGTCTCAACTCTTCACTGAAAGTCAAGATTAATGCTTGGGAGCACTAAAAAGGAAGCACCAAGGGAGCACTAATGAGGTGGCTCTCCCTTTGATGTGATGGTTGTCACTTGTGTTTTTCTTTTTTCTTTTATTTTTTTATATTTTCCAACTCATTAGAGCTATTAGTGATGGGATTTTTTAGTGGTCTCTATCATTGCTACAAAGTCAATGAGTGCTAGGGGCTGTTTCATAGGATTGCTTGGATGATCCTTGAGATTTGATGTTAAAAAAGTTGTGTTCTTCCTTTTTGTTGAGTATTTTGGAAGTAAAATAAGAGATTTTCAGTCAAAGGACACTAAAATCTCCCTTCTCAATCATTTGTGA